GTGCAGGGATAGTAAGCAAAGGATTATCTTTAAGGATGGAAAAGCCACAGAGAAACAGATCACACACGAGACCCAGGTTCCAGCTCTGAGAATGCCACCATGTAGCAAAGGGAAGATGCTGCTTGTATGAAGGGACCCAAAATTTCAGAAAAACCTGACTTCCATCCTTCCCAAATCACTACTTCCCACCAGGCAATAGGACTATGAGTCTCTTAAGAATAAAAATGCAGCTACTGGGAGGCGGAGGCAAGAGAATTGCCTAAGCCCAGTTGGAGGTTGCTGTGAGCTGTGTGACGCCATAGCACTCTACAGAGGGAGATAAAGTAAGACTCTGTCTTGACCAAAAAAAAGCAAATCTTGACAATCCTAGAACATAATTTTCTATCTCACTGCTACCCGCACCACTTTCACAATTGTTCTTGTTACCCTTCTAAATTTCTTAATTATTAATTTCTTAGGAATGTAAAAGAGTTTTCATGGCTTAAACAAAAATGTTATAACATGTAGATTCTTGGTCATTTAAACACCTATAGACAGACTGTTCCTTTTCATGTTGTGACTACCCCCTTCAAAAAAATGGCTTAGAGCCTAATTTTATTTAGAATATAAAAGAACAAGTATAGTCAATCATATCTTCTAAAAGTTCCTATCTTCCAGAATATGCGTACCATATGTAAATATATCAACATTGCCTAATTTTCAAATTCTTTTTTGCTTATCTCTTATTAGCGATATGAGAGTTGGATATAAAATCACCTGATAAACTCCCCTTCTTTAGACAAGTTAACTCTTCCAGGATAAATCCTCCACAATCATCCACCGCAAAGGCTTCAGTCTTATTCCAAGGAAATTCTGGCAAGTATTCATTTTTTTTTTTTTTAACATTCAATATCCATGGAGCACTGATCTTGTTTTGTGAATTTAAAAAAACCCTTATTTTCATCTGTAGCTATGGGTAGAATACATTGGTAATTTACATCCATATGATAGAATAGTAGAACAAATGATAGGTACTGACAATGCACTATTATTTTGGGGAACGAGTTCTTGATCTGTAAGGACAGCAGCCACAGGGACTGACTAATTCAGAGATATTCATGTTTTCCCTAGAACAGTAGTTTCAAGCTTCTACTTTGTCTAACCCAAAATTCAGTGGTAGATTCAAAGGGGAGAGAAGTTCTTAAAACTATCATTTAATAGACTGTCTGAAATGCCTATCACACATGTGAAACAATTCTATGAGCACTGCCACCAGATTCCACAAAGGGCAAAGAACTTAGATCTTTAGCTGTTTTGAGTACTCTACAAAAAAAGTATGTCAAATTGATTAACCAGCACATTTCATGTATTTACTATTTGAAGTGGCTAAACTAAACAGTATTTTCTATGGAGTATTTCCTAGAACTTGTACTATCTTTACCCCCCAAATTAAACATCAGACTACCATCTGTGTCCTTTGATCCTACAAACATCCTTTTGGTACTTGAAGAGGTAACAAAAAGATCTAGTGAATGAACAACAACAACAAAAAACCCCTAATAGCTCCAAGTTACTTACATTCCTGTTTTGAAAACTGGTCTGGTATTAGAAAATGTCACAGCTATAGTTGCCTTTGAATTTTCTTTTAACGTCCCAAAGAAATAAAACGACCTTAATAATAATAGCTTGTGTGAGAATAAGCAAGAAGCAAAAAATTCAGTAGGCCCCTAAGATTTAATTTCAGACTTATTATAGAAAGCATGCTATCACCAATCTGCATTTTTAACTGTAATCTGTATTACCTGAGAACACACTTGCTAGAAAGATAAGGATGAGTAGTTAAAAATGACCCATAAATCCCACTTGTCTCCCTTACGGATCAGGCAGCAGTAAACCATAATGGAGAGATCCCTGGAGGTGAAAGACCTGGGCTCTAGGCCAACATCCTTTGTTGATTTACTACATGACCTTGGGAAACTCCCTACACTGCTCCAAGCTGCTTTCTCAAAAAGAAAAGCGATAAATAACTGTCCTACATATATACCACACCTACTGTAATGTTCAAATGAGACAGTTAAAATGCTTCATAAAACTAAAATCAGCTTAGCCAAAAATCTTGGGGAGAAAAGAATCAGATGACATTCAGGGATTATGAATCTCTTTTAATCTTCTAGTTTGCTCATTCATACATGAGGGATCTGACCCACAGATCCAGCAGCAAAGGTAAGTCATTTTTTAACAATCAACGATGTGCATCTTACACAGTTCCCTCATACTGTTAGTACCAATAGTGATTATTCCAAAGGCTCAGGGATGATGAAGGATTTCAAGTACCTGTTTACAAATAGTAAGGTAAGAGCCTTCTTAAGGACTCAGACATTAATGGAACAGTTGTCTCAATGATAGTAAATCACAAAGTTGGCATAGACTCATGAAAAGGTAAGACAGAAGAGCAGACATAAAATAGTTTTAATGAATCCACTTCCTTTATTGCAGTAACTTCTGTACAAAGCAGCGACTGCAATTCTCAAAGTTAAAACATTAGAAAAGCATCTGTGACAGTTATAGTACAGTATTATCAAAATATTACATTTTCAAACTTAGTAGATAATCATCCACCAGAGCTCAAATCTTTAAATTATTTCTATAGTTTTAAAAAATATGCAATGTCAGAAAGCATATAAAAAGAATGTAAAAGGAAACCTAAAATACAAATGAAGTAATGTAACAAATAAATATTTGATTTCAGGAACTGTTATAATCAGCTTAACACCACCATTCTCCCTCGACCCACTGAATTCTCACCTATAGGAATAATAAACTGCCAAATGCCATTGCGTAATTATTTATTTCCAAGTTATCACCAATGATTAGGACTAAAAAAAATTTGGCATCAAAATAATCAAAATTCAGCATAAATAAAGTACAATAACTTCAACGCTAGCTAACATCTCTAAGAATTAATCGTTGAAATTTATTAGAGCACTACAACATCCTTGAAAATTTTTGACCTGGTGTCTAGTGTTAAGTGAAAGTAATACAATTTTTTTTTTAAGTGAAAAGCTTCTTACATTATTTCACAGACAATATTACCCTCCCCACATTAATGCATATTTAGATATATTTTATGTACTTTATACACACATGTATAACGCATGACATTTGGTTCCTGTAGTATAGACCACAATGATGTTTTCCTGAATGGGAAAAACTCAAAAAAACAAACAAAAAAAAAAAAAAAAAAAAAAAAAACCTCAACAACAAAATTAAGTGTACCTGTGCACATTTCAAGATAGCAGCACGTAGTCCATGCCCTAGTATCCATTCAGAAAGTTCACACATGATATTGTTTACTGAGTATTTCTGCTGTCTTTCCTCCTCAACACTGCAAAACCAGCAATAAATGGAACAATGCTATGAATTGTAATGTAGAAAAATTTTTTCCAGAAAATTAGTTTCTTCATTTTCTTAATATTCTGAATAATCAGACTTCCAATTTATACTGAGTCTGTACTCACGCAGCCCAATTCTGCACCATGGCAAAGAAGAATTTTTAGATTTCTATCAAGATACACGAAAACCTGCATAAATTCTACACCATGAAGACTCGGGCCGAAGAACCCACTGAGCAGTATTTTCTATGAAATGTTTTCCATCTTTTAATTGGATAACTGTAAAATTACAGCATGCCCTTCAAATGATCACCTTTGTTCTCCATGAAACCAGTACCTGTCAATCCGATTTTAAACTTACATTTACTAAACAACAACAAAAAAAATCAAATGAATCTTAATCACCTTAAAATGCAAAACACCAGCAACATAAATTTCATTACATGTACACATATGCATCTGTGTGTGCATATACATACACACACACATACAGACATGTAGACATAAATCCCTTGAAATGTTTTTAGGAAATCCTTCCTTGAATAAAAAAATGAAAAACTTCACATTAATAACTGTATATAAAGCTTTTAGAAACAGTACATATGCACTGTCGAAATCGTACTAGTAGACTAGGATGTCAAAATGGACATTTCAGAAGCACAAACTGGCAGTTTTTCTTAACACAAAAGTTTTAAAGTATTAAGAATGGATTAAATTTAAATGTTCAGAATAATCTGTTCAAACCTGAGTGTATTAAGACTAAGTGTACTGGACAGCTGAATGAATTAAGCCTAAAAACATTTCACTAAGAAACCAGTGGTCCATTTAACCATTTGATGAAACATTACTTTAATGATTATAAAGGATGGTACAATATAGTGAAATTCCACTTACTGTTTATTGAAATATTCTATTAAATGACATTGCTTTGTCCAAATTTCCTCCAGAAAAAAATCTGTTAGCATTTCTTATCAGTCCCTCAGATTTGAGGGGAATTCTAAATTAGGACAGATTTCTCTTCAAATAAATACAAATGATCTTATTTAAAAAATGACATGTAATTTTTCAGCATGGTACATTGTAAGTATTGGATAATAATGAAGACTGAAATAATAGCCAATCAGAGGAGATTAAAAAGGTATTTCAGGGCTTTTTATCTTAACTACACTTACATGTACTCATACAAACTTAACCTTGGGGTCACTTTTTGGTTACCATTTTTCATTAACTTGCCCTAATTTTCACCTTTAATACCTAACAGATACCTTTAAAAAAGGAATAGAAAACATACAGTACTCAACATTAATTGGTCAATGGAAGAAGAAAAGCAGTGTCCATTTTGTCTTAAAGTGGAAAAGACTAGAAACAAAGATTAACAGCTGAAGGCAAAGTTTGACATTCTACAAATTTATAAAAGAGGATATATGGATGAAATTTGGTTAATTTCAGAAGGCACCTCAAGGCTAAAGGCTTTTTGTACTCCTTTCATCAATCAAAAAATAACACATTTTTATTGCTATTCAAGTAGCAAAGGAAAACTACTCTCGTGAACTTCAGTCCAAGAATCACCACCATTCATTAAGATTGAGATATGGAATTGACTAAAACTGAAGTCTCCATACACATATCAATGGAGCAACTTTCCTGTGTGCTTTCAAAATAATGAAATAGTGAAAGAAAAGTCACCATTCGCCATTGTGATGTTAATGTCATTGAAGATTTCAGTTTACTTCACTAGGCACTGAAGTACCACTCTGGAGGACCGTCCATCGTGTAGAACATTTACGAATAGAAGGTAAGGACGCTCTGATGATTCCCACGGACGAGGAGGATTGGTGGGAGGTCTTTAGATAGAGCTTCTAACCATGCCATATACAGAGCACTAGACACAGCACCTTTCCGTGCAACTGGGAGACTCCTGGTATCCAAAAGAGAAAAGAAATTGAGTAATGCATTTAAATTGAGAAAGATAAAATGTAACAAAAATTATAAATAACAGTAACTAGAATTTACAATAATTTATAATTACAGAACACTTCTGAGCATGGGGAAATACTCCACACAGGATCCCAACTACAGCTGTGTGTCACCTAACGATGGGATGTGCCACAGGGCAATTTTCCCCTTGTGCAAAACACTGTGCACTTACACACATCTAGGTGGTACAGCCCACTACACACCCGGGCTGGCTGGTGCCCGGGCTACTGCCCCAGCTACAAAACCACACAGTGTGTCACTCACGTATGGAATTCCATAGGCAACTGTAACACAAAGGGAAGTATTTGTGTCTACAGATAGAAAAGGTACAGGGCATCCTTCCTTTCTTGCTGAGGGATGGCAGGCGGGAGCCAGGATGCCTGGCCATTCTCTCTGTCCCCATCCTTCTTCCTCTCACTACCTGCTCTCGGCTTTCTTCTCTACTACTCATCTCTTCTCCACTCTACCTCCTCACTGTAATATACAATCAACATATACTTTTATATCCTTATAAAAAAGAAAAGGTACATAAAAACACACTATCACATAATCTTAAGGAACCACTGTCATATATGCAGTCCATCATTGACCAAAACACTTTGATGCAGGGTTGACTATATTAAACAATCACAGCACTACTGCATGTTTTCAACTGTAAACAAAAGATATTTTAAAATCTGTTCATAAGAACAGTAAATATTCCTATAAACCATAATACATTTGGCATCTAACACTAAATCCAAAATTCTCCCTTCTTCAATGAGAATACAGAGTGCCAAAAAATGTATACACATTTGAAGAAAAGGAAAAAACTATATTAAAATTATAATATTCAAGCTACGTTTGACTTAGACAATTATAAGAGATACAAGACAAACATTATCAGTATAGATTACTACAATATTTTTGGAGACAGAGTCTCACTATGCACCCTCAGTAGAGTGCTGTAGCATCACAGCTCACAGCAACCTCAAACTCTTGGGCTTAAGCAATTCTCTTGCCTCAGCCGCTCACGTAGCTGGGACTACGGGTGCCTGCCATGATACCTGTCTATTTTTGTGTTATTGCTGTCACTGATGTTCAGCTACTAAGCTATGGGCGCTGAGCCAATTATTACAATTTTAATACAGTTTTTCCTTTCTTAAAATGCATATATATATTTTTGTTACCCTCTGTAGAATTTTTTTAGGAGAAAGAGATGTTTGTATCGGAATTCAGAAAATGGAATTTAGAACCATGGATAAGAAATTCTTCTATCTTTCTGAGTTTTAGTTTCTACTTACAGGTGATGGTATAGTGGGTATTTACTATGCAGAGTGAAGTTTTTTTCTAAATTTCTATGCTTTAGTGTTTTCCATTATAGGTATCTGATTATCATCAGCAGAACTTGAGACATACTGCTTTATTAAATGTCTGCTGTGAAATTAACAACAATCCTTTAATGTCACTTCTTTTCATCATTTGACATGGTTTTCTGAAGACCTGAGCTTTCCTTATCTATTAAGGACACAGGCTTCAGAACTATGAAAATTTGGGTTCAAGTGACATCTAGGTAACGTACTTTATTAATATAGAGGAAGAGCCAAAGTAGGCACTCAGCACCTATATTTAACTTGAGGACAATGTGTCCATATATAAACTTTGTGTGTGAGGAAAGCTGTGAGTGGGATTCACGCAGAAATCAGTATTTAAATTTAATCCTCTAAATAACTTTCTGCAGTTATTTTCATAAGGAAGCTGTCCAGGATCCAAATTTTAACATAAGAACACCCACCTCACTTATCCTTTAATGGCTGTGTCATAATGTTTACAAAGCTAAGAAATTTTGAAAAAGTAAGAAGGAGGATAAAGAAAAGTTTTTAGAATAACCTACTATGATAAAGAATTCCTTAGATTCAGACATACTTAGGTTAATATTTCTGTTTGTCTCTCCTCCTAATTTAGATGATTTCTCCCCAAAATCTTACAGTATATTCAAAAAACTTCTTTTTTTCTTATAACTAATAACTCATTATGGATACTACATAGACATGTACTTGGAATAAAAATTGATTCAAAGTACATTATCATAAAATAAACAGTAATAAAATCTTAATACAGATATTACTTACATGACAATAATATTAGCTGTACTTGAATGTTCCTTTAATAATTCATTTAACCTGATCTGACGGTATGTCTGGAAAAGGAAACAGGACAAAGTCATTTCCAGGCCACTTGAAAATCAGAATCTTTTAGAATCTAGCATGAGTCATAAAATTATAAGTAGACAATGAAATCAAATTAATTTGATGTCATAAAAATATGTTTCCTATTTTTAAAAAGTAATTATTTCCACTATCCACACACACACACACACATCTAGACTTGGCCTGGTCACTGGGCCAGATTCTTCTCTTTCACCCTCCCCTCCACACCCAAGTAGCTGCACACCTGTTTTCTGTCCTCCTGAAGTGCACTTCTTTTTGTTTTTTATTTTTCTTATTACATTTTTCCTATTACATGGAAATTCTTCCAATAACTTGAAGTAGATTTAATTTACACAATGGCTCCCTTGCATTTTAAATTTAGAGTTTTTGATATTTATGTCTTAAGAATTTTAAATAACAACACTAAAGATTAATGAAGGGTAGAAGAAAAGAATACCTTTGTCTTATAAAGTTCAAGCTCATTATCTGTTATTCGCCATGGTTCATCTTCTTTCATTTTATCTGCAATATCTTGTTCTTTATCATCTTCGTGAAGTCTGTATGGCTCAATCATTTCATCAAAAGCTGTAATACTTACAAAAGAGACCACCGACCATTACCCTTATCTGAATTACACATCTGAGTCTTAAACAATAAATTAAAACCTGAAAACTTAGTGCTCTCATCTATTATGCTCCCTTCCACAGCCCAACTATAACAATCACTGGCAATTTATTAAGAAAAGAAAAGGTAATTTCTAGCCTCTGAAGCAGAGTTAGAAATGTAGGATCATACGGAGCACACAATCTGAGTATCCCTCATCTGCATTTTCAAATGCTACAAAATTTGGACCTTTCTAAGTACCAATATGATGCTCAAAGACAATGCTCACTGGAGTATTTTGAATTCCAGATTTCCAGATTAGGATGCTGAACTAGTATATATAATGCAAATATTCCTAAATCTAACAAAATCTGAAATTCAAAATACTTCCGGTCTCAATCACTGAAAATAAGGTTTTTACTTATTTTTTATTTTTCTTATTACATTTTCCCTATTACATGGAAATTACATGCCCCTGCTTCTATGCCCACCCTGCCCCAATCTGAATAAGTTTTATCAAAGTAGCCAAAATGAAGCCTTTGAACTGTAACTCCAATTGTGCTACTTTGCTCAGTACATCCAAAGACTTTCCCTGGTCAAATACCAATGAATGAAAGTTGTGTAAGAAAATACACTAGAACATTTTGAAGGGAGAAAAAGGCTAAACTAAAAATTTAGAAAGATACAGAATTAATTTCTAGATCCAAAGATCCTTACTAGGATAAATTAATGACATTCTAACCCCCCATGAATAATGAAAAACATTTTTCAGTATCAAATCTGGTGTGAAGTCCATGATATGTATAGTTTTATAATAGCAGCCACCTCTCCCTGATTATAAGTCTCACAATCTTACTCTTTTCTATTTAAATAAATTCTTTATATCAGCTTCATCATTTATTCAACATTTATCTGAGAAAAACTATCTTTGATAAAATGAACAGAACAACCTCTACATACCATTCTCAGGTAAAATATCCTAAGAATTTGTGCTAAGAGAATTCTGAATGCAATTATTGTATACAAATTCTTAGATTAGAAATAAAACAACAGTAGAAAATAATAGGTATTTCGTGTAGGGACTGAGTGGTTATAATGCATGTGGGGGAAATGAATCATTTTTAGCATTAACAATTTTCAGAAATTATACATAAAGTAGTAATTGAAATCCTCTCTGAAAATTGAAAAAACTCTGAGTATACTTCAATATCTGCGATAGGCATGGCAAGCATTAGTGCTAAAGCTTAAATATCTAATTTCACATGTAATTAATAGCAGAAAAAAATACCCTGGGTAATTAGTTTAAGCTGAATCTATGTCTGAATATGAAATCTGTAGAAGTATCAGAAATTTATAGTTTATCCAATAACTTACTTTTCTTTCTTTGGTTTGGTGTTGATATCTCCTAGGACCATGATGTCTGAGAAGTCTATCCGGAACTTACTAAGCAAAGTAGCCATCCTACAACAGAAATGCATGACACTGAGAAACACAGAGATGTGCAGTAGCACCCAGAGTTCCTTCCTTCCCGGGCTGGATCCATACGCCTTAAGAGTGTGGTTTACAGGAAAAGCCTATCTGGTGATAAACAGAGCCCATCTGAATTAACTCACACCATTCATTCACAAGCAGACTCCTAAATTCCCTGAGCAGAGACTACTGTTACATTCTTTACTTTCTCTGAATCTTTCCTTGTTATCCAATAGTGAGTAAAGACATTATGAATGAAATCCGAATGACAACTAGTGCTGGTTCCTGGGCGGTGGGGGGGGGGGCACAATCAGGTGGGTTTTTAAAAATTATTATTTCAGAATTATTAGGGGGTACCCATGTTTTATTTACATACTTTGTTTTCTGCACAAATTGGGTCAATAAGGTCATAAGCATGCCCCCCACCCAGACAGCGCACGCCACACCCCACAGGTGTGAATTTACTTCCCCTTCCTCCACTCCTCTAAGTGAAACGTCATGGGCATGGAGAGACAACTAGTGTTTTTTAAGCTAATTTTAACCAAATTATATTGGTAAATATATGGATTTCAGTAAAAACTAGTAAATGAAAAATTATTCTTCCATTTAAGAAGAATGCTTATATCAACATCCAAATATGATTTGGGGAGCCAAACTGAACATACAGCTAATAGCTGCTTAACTTTACAGCTTTTTTTGGGGGGGGGGATGAAGAATTAGAATTAGTCTGGAAAAGGAACACCCATGAGCCTGATTACTCACTAAGTACTCTTTTGGAGGCAAAGTTGGCAATCACTGGTGGCAACATTCAAGATAAACTGAATACACAAACATACACACAAGAAAAGCAATGAAAAAATCCAGAATTTTTAATAAAATGAGTTTTTAACATTGAGATATGAGATAGTAGAAAACAGATAAGCTACAGGTTTAACTATTAAATTCATTACTAGTACTTCTTACATAATTCATTATTAGAAATGATTAAACATCTATTTGAATTCAAGTATCTACCTATACTAAATGCTAAACATTATAGGGTCCATAAAACTCAAATTTAAGAAAATATACTATGGGCCATCATGTGAGGAGTGGCAGTATCAGTGTATTCAGATTCAGGAAGGAAAGTAGTCAAGGGACAAAGTGAAAAAAAATGGGGAAGGCATGTGGAAGAACCGAGCTGGGTCTTACAGAATCGAGCATTTAAACGGGTCACAGGAATGGCAAGAAGAGCTGTTTACAAGATTCAGAGATGAGCGTAGGTACAGAAGCCTGAACTCACAGGACGTTTGGGGCATGTGTGGAAGTGTAAACAAGTATCGGGCATTCTAGGGGGAACAGGAGATAAGACGGGAAAGGGCAGGAGGACAAATGTCAGGGGCCTTATCGCAATTAGACTTTCTCTGATGGAGAATGGACAAGCTGCTGAGGTCTCGTGTGCAGGAGCACACTCTGCTTTCCGAGTGTGAACCAGGGAGCCATGTGTACCACACATACACGCAGGAGTATCAGAGAAGAGACCTGGGCGCTGAAGGCAGAGGAGAGAAGCCCTGAAAGCAGAGGGAAGATGCAGCGGCACAGACAGGACCAAGGGGCTGGGCAGCAAGGGCATCCTGCACTCCTGCTGTCTAGAAGTCAACAAAACGCACCATACGTGAATATGTAATCTCTGTGTACTTTCTTCCCCGATTAGAAGGAAAAAAGCTGCTTAACATTTTAACATTGCAAGTATTTAAAGAGGACCCTCTAAATGCTAACATGTTTAAAAAAGTTTTATTTAAATAAAATTAAGTACCTACAACTTAAACATGAAGACTAAATTAAAGAAAATGAAGTTATATTTAACTCGATTTTTACTAGTTATTCTCTTAAGCCCATGATGTGAAAATGAAGTGTCACTAGATCAATGCCCTTCAATTTTAAAATGCACTTACGCTCTCCGGTCATGGTCTATTCTGTTTATTTTTCCACCAATGAACACTCTGATCTTACAGTCTTTCCACTTTTTCTTGGTAGTCAGCAGATAAGGTATTAATAAGGTCAAACCTGAATTATAAAAATATAACATGATTTATAAAATGCTAATTTTTCATTCAAAAACTTTAAATTCCAATTTAGTCTCTAAAATACATGTTTACTACAACTTAATATAAAACAAAATTCTTTCCATCCTTCCTTGATAATTCAGACAGAACAGCCACTGGGGCAGGCCTGTGCAAGGAGGAAGGTCCAGAGGCGTCTGGGTCCACCTGGGAAGGCTGCCAAATGGGCCAGTGGATGGACAGAGCTGGGAGACTAGACACACGCAGGAGAACCAAGGAAATGAGCACACTGGATGACCCTACTGCTGGGGGACTGGACACACCCAGGAGGACCAAGGAAACAAGCACACTGGACGACCCTACTGGTGGGAGACTGGACACACCCAGAAGGACTGAGGAAAGGAGCACACTGGACGACCCTACTGCTGGCCGAGTGAACACACCCAGGAGGACCAAGGAAACGAGCATACTGGACGACCCTACTGGTGGGAGACTGGACACACCCAGGAGGACCAAGGAAATGAGCACACTGGATGACCCTACTGCTGGGCGACTGGACACACCCAGGAGGACCGAGAAAACAAGCACACTGGACGACCCTACTGGTGGGCGACTGGACACACCCAGGAGGACCGAGGAAACGAGCACACTGGACGACACTACTGGTGGGCGACTGGACACACCCAGGAGGACTGAGGAAAGGAGCACATTGGATGACCCTACTGGTCAGCAACTGGACACACGCAGGAGGACCGAGGAAA